CACTTCACAGAGCTGTCCAGCTGCCGGTGGCACCCGTGGGCTGGAACAGCCCCAAAGCACAGCCGGTCTGGGGAGGTGGGATGGGGGCTGGATGCTGGCTATGGACCGAGGGATGGGGCTCCCCTGGGGTAATCTACCACACACCCATCTCTTCCTCACAGAGGAGGATTGCCAAAAGTACCTTGTGAAGCAGCAGCAGGAGGAGTCCGAGTTGCCCTTGCAGGTAGCCACAGTAGAGAGCAGTGTCCCCCGCACACCGGAGCTGACAGGCCTCACCATACGGGACGACCCCCAGGGTAAGGGCCCGGTACTGCTCTATGGGGCGGACAGGACAGGTAGGCCAGAGGCCGTGGTGGTGTTAAGAGCGTGGTGGCAAAAGTGTGGATGCCGAGGGCTGTGGAACCTTCGGCAGGTGTATAATCTTTCTGAGTCTCAGCTTCCTCGCCTAAGAAATGGCTGTCATTGCTCTACCTCTGAGCTGCCATGAGGTTCTCAGGAGCCGGCAAGCGTCTGTCTCATGGCTAGGGCTTGGCCCTCAGGGGTGCTCTGCTTTCCTCCCGTGGGGAGGACGCTTTCTGCCAGTACTGTTGTTTTAGCATGGGTGGGAGGGCTGTGGACCGGGGTGGCCTAGGCTGGGGACTCTTGGCCGGACTCCTCCCCACCCTTGCTGTGGGGCTCTGACGGGCTCTCTGGCGCTCTGCACTTAGGACACATGCCTGAGTGTTTCGACGCCTTCATCTGCTACTGCCCCAGCGACATCCAGTTTGTGCAGGAGATGATCCAGCAGCTGGAGCAGACCAACTACCGGCTGAAGCTGTGTGTGTCTGACCGCGACGTCCTACCCGGCACCTGCGTCTGGTCCATTGCCAGCGAGCTCATCGAGAAGAGGTTGACTAAGGGGCCGGGGCGTGTGGGTGGGTGCATGAAGCATTCCCGAGGGGTCCAGATGCTAGGCTCCTCCGCCCAGTGGGCGCCCTTCTGAGGCTTTTCCCTAGGTATGATGGCCGAGCTGCCCTGGCCCACGTAGTCAGCCTGCTCACTGTCCCACAGGTGCCGCCGCATGGTGGTGGTTGTCTCTGACGATTACCTGCAGAGCAAGGAGTGCGACTTCCAGACCAAGTTTGCTCTTAGTCTCTCTCCAGGTAAGCACAGCCTTGCCCTGGCCTGAGAGGCGGCAGCAGGCCAGGCCTCAGGATACCAGCCTTCCCTCCCCCAGAGTCATGGGTACAGTGCCAAGAACCCCTGCAGACCTCTGCACACTGGAGCGTGTGTATGTGTGCACCTGCTGGTGTGGGCACTTGTATACCAGGGGTGCACTGTTGGGGGAGTGTCATTAACTCCTATCTAGGGAGGGCCTGATGCCAGAGCTGCATCCCTTGGCTTGCAGGTGCCCATCAGAAGCGACTGATCCCCATCAAGTACAAGGCGATGAAGAAGGAGTTCCCCAGCATCTTGCGGTTCATCACTGTCTGCGACTACACTAACCCCTGCACCAAGTCCTGGTTCTGGACCCGCCTCGCCAAGGCCTTGTCCCTGCCCTGAAGACTGCCTGGGGACCCTGTGTGTGCACATCTGTCTGCCCATCCATGTCCTTCTGCTCCTGCCTCCTCCTATGGGGGCAGCCTTTTGCTTCTTGGAGAAGCCAGCTCTATAGACATATCTGCGGCAGATGGGTGTCACCCGGACGTCACATCTTGCATCCTGCATGGAATATGTGCAAGTGGCTGCAGGAGGCAGGCCACCCGCCAGGTTATCAGGGGGACAATGAAGAACAGCCCCACTGGGACTGAGGAGGCCCAGAGGAGCCAGCTCTGAGCCGTCCGCCTCCGTTTCCCCACTTGAGGAGTAGGAGGGAGAAGCAGGCAGTCGCCGTGTTCTAACCACAGCAGGAAATGGAAAGCTCTGGGTCTCTTGGAGGAGACAAAGGCTGGCTGAGGGAAGGGAGTGCTGCTGGAGCCATGGCACCACGGGGCAGCTGCTTCCACGGTGGTGCTGGCGATGCTTCAGTGCCTTTGCGCACCTGCCATGGCACCTCCTCCTGCTCCACAGAGCAGGCAGGAAGCAGGCTGGCCCAGAACGAGATCCCACCTCTCATCTGCGTCTTTGACTCCTCCCAGCCTCTGCTCAACCGCCAGCAGTGACTAGTCCTGAGAGACCGGCCTAGCAGCCGGGGCTGCTTTTCATTCACTTCCGCCTGTAATGCCTGTGGTCATGCTCTCAGTTCCTCCTAGGATGGGATCCTGGCCCTTGTGGGCTGGGCTAGGTCACCATGGTGTTGTGAGCAGAAATCTTCCCTCCCTGGGCCACCCACAGACGGCTTGCCTTCCAGCTTTCTGTACCTGGATGCCTTACAGAGCTGTTTGGTTACAACAGTGACCACACAAGAGCTTCCTGTCCCCAAACCAGGGGACATGGACACATTCAGACTCACGCACAGACACGTGCATGCATGCACGTACACCTTCACTCACACAGGCACCTGCATGCACACGGTCCCCTGGGTACAGCTCCCAGGAGCGGCCAGATGGAAAAACTAGAGCTTAGGGTTAGGTCCCCTAACCGTCTCTCTGGACAACAATGCAGCACTCTTATATTCCTTTTCTCTTTTTTTTCTCTCGTCGTTGAAACCAAACTCAGAAAAGGACCCAGTACATATTTATACCTACAGTGTAGTGCAGAGAGGAGAGGGCCGTTTGAACTCACACGAGCGAGCTGCACACACAGCTGTTTCCATCCTCCCAGGGAGGCTTTTCCATTATCCTCAAGCTCTCTTCAGGGGAGAGCATGCACCGTCTCAGGTGACACAATAGAAAATGCATCTCTTGGGACCAGCAGTTGTTGTAATGGCTATGTTGCTGAACTCCCATGTAGCTGACCACAGTTCAAGTCCCAGACCTGGTGGCTTAAACTCACGCTGGGTGCGTGTGTGTGCATGCCCAAGATCCCAAGAGGAGAATGGAGGAGAAGGGGTTGCAGCATGGCCATCCCCTCTGGGGTGTGATTTCTCGCTTTCTATCTCTCTGTCTCTGTCTTTTTGGCGAACGCACGTGCCCTATAGCAAAAACCGCTCCAAAAAAAAAAAGAAAAAAAATGCATCCTTTTTCTGCTCCACCTCCAACCAGGCTGGAGCAAGGTGACTTAGCTGGGGGTCTCAGGAGGGAACGGAGGGCCCTCTGTATGTGATCCTGATGCACTTAGAGGCCATGTACCTATCCGCCTTGGTTACTGGGTATTTTAAAACAATTTCAATAGATCATCTTTTATACCAGTTTTCTATGCATTGTGAGAATGTTGGAGATCTGAGGAATTGCCTGTGTTTGTCATTCCTCCGGTGTCCTGGAATCTTCCTTGTATCTTTTATAATAAATAATATTCTACTTTGGGAACTCTGTGTGTGTGTGTGTGTTTGGAAGCAGTAACCTGGGGTAAGGCTCTCCTGGGTAAGAGAAGCTGGCCTGTTTGGTAAGTTCCATGGGCTTTGGCTGGGGCTTCCTGAAAGCTAAGGCCCTCCTCATGAGCTTAGGCCTCAGCAGGGCAGGCAGAGAGAGCCAAGCATTATGGCCTCGGCTCCAGGAGCTCAGGAGACCACTCGCTTCTGGACACCTTGGGCTTCCCTGGGTTGTGCCATGTTCCTGGGTCCTGGCCCAGCCAGTGGGCAGGAGCTGGGCTTCTGAGCTTCAAGGAGAACCAGGAAGAGCCCCAGTCCAGCCACAGAGCGCTGGAGAACTCAGCTGTATGGTTGCCCTGGGCATATGTATTCATATATGAGTCCTAAGGGCGCTGTTCTATTTTTAAAGAAAATGTATTGCTTTTTCACCATAAAAACCAATACTATTTCTTGTGTTCAAGAACATTTGGAGGGACCAACAGTTAGCGTAATGGCTATGTCACTGGACTCCCATGTAGTTGACCGTGGTTTGAGTACCGGACCTGGTGGCTTAAAACACTGGGCACGTGCGTGTGCGTGCCCAAGATCCCGAGAGAAGGGATTGGGGGGTGATTTCTCGCTTTCTGTCTCTGTCTGTCTTTCTGGCAAGCGCACACGCCCTATAGCAAAAACCTCTCCAAAAAAAAAATAAAAGAACATTTGGAAAAAGAATCAAGAAAAAGTCGCTCATAATTCTAATCCCAGAGGTAAATTCTAGTGACACTTCAGAATGTTCAGACATTACCTGTGACTACAGAGTCTCTGTCAGTGGTTTCTTACCAGGTCCTCCTGTACTGCTTTAAAAAGGAAGGACATTCTGACATGCTGCAACATCATTTAGCCTTGAGGGTATTTTAATTAATTAATTAATTTTGGAGAGAGATTTTTGCTATAGGGCTCGTGTGCTCACCGGAGGGACACAGAGAGAGAGAGACAGAGAAAGTGGGAAATCACCCCTCGGGGGAGGGGGGAGGGATGGTCATGCCACCATCCCTTCTCCATCCTCTTGGGATCTTGGGCACACACGCACACACATCCAGCGTGAGTTTAAGCTGCCGGGTCCCGGACTGGAACCACAGTAGACTATGTGGGAGTCCAGTGACTTAACCATTACGCCACCTGCTGGTGCCAGCCTTGAGGTTATTAAGCTAAGTGAAATAAACCAGTCGCAGAAGGACAAATATAATTCCACTTCTGCAGGATAGTAAAATTCATAGGGACAGAAAGTAGAATGGTGATGGCCAGAGGGTTGGGGGGAAAGGAACCAGAGGGTTATTGTTTAATAAGTATAGAGTTTCTATTTTGCAAGATAAAGAATTTCTGCCAATTGGTTGGACAACAGCGTGAATCTACTTAGCACTACTGAACCAGAAATGGTTAAGATGTCAAATTTTACGTCATGTGCGTTTACTACACACATAGACCATGTTGTTCAAACCTCAGACGCAGTGGCTAGAAAACCATGCTGGGGAAGTAGGGGGAGGAGGACAGCCAGGTGACATTGTGGTTAAGGTGGCTGGATCCCACATGGCCATCCTGATGACTTGAAAAACATGCTGGGTGTGTGTGCGTGCATGCCCAAAATAGAGGAGCACAGAGGAGAAGGGATTGTACCATGATCATCCCTCTGGGATAGGGGGTGATTTTTCCATTGTCTTCCTGTCTGTCTCTCTCTCTAGTTAGCACATACACCCTATAGCAAAACAACAACAACAAAAAAAAAATCACACCAGGTGTGTGCATTTATGCCCCAAATCCAACAGGATGGAGAAATAGAGGAGAGAGATTATGGCATGGCCACACCCCTCTCTGTCTTTCATTAGTGAGCACACACCCCCATGAAAATTAAAAAAAAAAAAATCCAACTATGATAAATCCAAAGAATCTATTCCAAGGCACATCATAGACTCTGAAATTCGAAGACCAAAAAAGCCTTGGAAGGAGCCAGAGATCAATGACCAATGATATCTTAACAATAATGGACCAAAGGAAAAAAAAAATGCCATCAGATTTTTCATCAGAAGCCACAGAAGCCAGAGGCAATGACATAACACTTTCTTTTAAAAGAAAAGAATTGTCGAGTTGAAATTCCATATTCAGTGAAAATATCCTTCAGTCAATGAAGAGGCAATTAAGACATTCTCGGATAAATAAAAACTATGAGAATCTGTTGACAATAGATTTACCCTAGAAGAATAGTTAAAGAAAAAAAATTTTTCTGTTCCCTCCTCCCCCTACCCCTGAGATTTTTGCTATAGGATGTGTGTGCTCCCTGGAGAGAGAGAAACATAGAGAGAGAGAGAGAAAACTAGAAATCACCCCCAGGGAAGATGGCCATGCCACAATCCCTTCTCTTCCATCCTCCTCTCTGGATTTTGGGCACGCATACACATGCACCCTGTGTGTTTTAAGCTGCCATGCCTGGGACTTGAACTGAGGTCGACTACGTGGGAGCCGAGTGATGTACCCATTATGCCATCTGCTGGTCCCTAAAGAAAGTTTTTGAATTGGAAAGGAAATTGTAAGGGCCAGTGGTGGTGTAGCAATAATGCATCAGAACCCATGTGGGGAAGGCCCTGAGTTTTGCCCCCAGGACCCTCCTGAGTCCACCAAATGTACACAGAGGCCTATGATCTGGGCTGGCTGACACTGGGGTGGATTGTGGTGTGAAGACCTCTTGAAAATGCCTGTTCCTCTCTCTCTCGAAATAAATAAACTTTAAAAAGAATTATTTATTTAATTTTATTACTTCTTATTAATTGGTGAGGGGGCACATGTGCTCACCAGAGAGAGAGAGAAAGTGAGAAATTCTGAGACTCAAACTGTGGTTGGCTATTGGGAGTACAACACCTCAATCACCACACCACCAGCTGGCCCCCATAAAGAAACTGTTTTTTCATGGATGGATATCTTTGTCATTTATTTTTAAAGTATTTTTTTAAAATAATTTTTTATTTAACTTGCTTTATTTACTCATTTTATTTATTTGAATTTGACCAGAGAGAGTGAGAGAGAGTGAGAAAGGGAAAGTGAGAAAGCAAGCCGCCAAGTCCAGGACTTGAACCACCACGCCACCTG